AGTGCGCCGGGGGGGGGGGGGGGGGGGGGGGGGGCGCGCCCTTGCCCTGGGTTGGAGCTGCCGCTGCCCCTCCTCCGTTGCCCTTGGCCGCCGCCATCTCCGCGCTGTGCTCGCTGGGCGCGGCGGGGCGGGGGCGCTTGGACTTGCGGCGGTCGTGCATCTTCTTGAAGTCCGCGCGCGTGGTCTTGATGGATTCGGCGGCGGGGCCGAAGTGCTTCTGGACCTCTGTCTGCAGATGATGGCCGACGAAGGAGGTGACCTGCTGCTCGAACGGCTTCTTCTCCTCCTCGGAGATGTCGAGCCCCTCGAGGTCGAACGCCGCCCCCGCCTGGACCTCCATGACCTCCACCTCCTCGGATAGCAGCTAGGAGAGGTCGAGGGCCGCCCCCTGCTTGGCCGCGGGCGGCTCCGCGGCCTCCGCAGGCGCTGCCGCGGCCTGGCCCGCTGGGGCCACCTTGGCGTAGGCCGCCTCGGCCTCGGCGTCGGCCTCGGCGACCTCGAGGATGGCCTCCTCTAACTCGCGCCGCTTGCACTCCAGCCAGTCCTCCGCGTCCTTGACCGCGTGGCGGGGGCGCTCGAGGGCCGCCCCGGCGCGCCGCGCCCGCGCCCGCGCCTGGTTGAGCGTCGCGTCAAGGTGCTGCTTGGGCGGGGGCGTGACCAGCGCGAGGGCCAGCTGGTCGACCTGGGCGACGGTGGCCCGAGCAGCGACCGCTGGAAGAGTGGCCCGCAGCTGCCGCAAGAGCTCCGCCTGCGTGGGCGGAGCGTCCTTGGCCCCCTTGTGCCGCGGGGACGGCTGCGGCCGCGCTCGCTGGCCTCGCCCGGGCCCCAGGCACCCGAAGGCGGGCGCTCCTGCGACCGAGCTGGCTGCCAGGCCCGCCCGCAGCTGTGGCACGCCGTGTTCTTCCTACAGTTCCACTTGTAACCGCGCGAGCGGCACTTGGCGTATTGCTGCCTCTGGCCCCCAGACTGCTCGCCCCTGTCTCCATTGCCATCCACGCGCAATGCCGCAAGACTGAGAGCATGTCCCGCCAGGAGCAACGATGAAAGCGCCCACGAGTGCCCGAGGGCTCGCCGTGGCGAAGGTGGCCAACAACGACTGCTGCGGGGCAGCTCGCCTCGAGCCAGCCCCTCGGCTGCAGGCAAATGCGAAGCCGCAGGGCCACGGTCATGCACCTGAGCCAGAATTGCCATGGGGAGGAGGAGGCGGAGGAGGAGGAGGAGGAGGAGGAGGAGGGAGGGAGGGATGGAGAGATGGAGGGAGGGGGAGGGAGGAGGGGGGAGGAGGAGGGAGGAGGAAGAAGAAGAACACTCCGTTGGGGCCTGGTTCGTCAAGCTGCAACTACTCGAAAAAGGCCCAGAGACGATCCATAAGATAGGGCCCCAAGCGCCTGGGACGCTGGCCCCAAGGCTAGACCGTGAACTGGCCCACTGCCCGAGGCACTGAACGCGGGTGCGAGTTGCCCGAATCGAAGCCCCGAACCATCTCCTGTACGTGCTGGATACGGAAGAGGGCCCCCCACCTGGCCGAGTCCCTGGGAATCCCCTGGGCCGTAAGAAAAGGCTCTACCGCTCTGTCGCCCGTGGGGGCCTCTCCTCGATATTTTCGGGAATGCTGAAGAAACTGAATGGTGTGAATCACCCGTAGATTCTGGAACGGTATTTGTCAGGCTCCCAGCTTCCTTGACCAACGGTGAACTCTGCCCCGTACTCGTATATATGCAAGAAGGAACGCCTCGAGACGCTCCTGCACCTCCCTCTCCATGTGCGTCGCTGGCGCCCTCCCCGGCTTCAGCTCGCCGCCGAGCTGGGTCAGCGCCGAGACCACCTCCTTGCGGCATTCCCCCAGGCACAGCGTGATCCTTTTTTTTCTGCTGGTCGTAGCACCTGTCGAGCTTCGTGAACTTGATCACGTCCATGCGGTCCTCGTACACCAACATTCCCAGGTGATCCTTCCAATCCTTCAGCCGTGCAAAGTTCGCTTTACCGATGGATTCCTGTCGGTTGATCAGCGCCTCGAGCAGTCCTCCGAATACATACAGATGCGGAGCGCCTAGATTGTCCCCTTTTTTCCTGTGGCTTGAACCTGCTCGTTGTACTTGGCGCGTTGCTCGGCCACGCGGGTTACCTCTGGCATGTCGTGCGGCATTATGATGACGTCGAAGAGGATCCCCTCCACCGTGCGGCGCGACTGCGCCAGCTGCGTGAAATCTTCATCATGAGCACCATCAGCGACCTGTTGGCGGGGTTGTAGCCTGCGGCGGACTTGGTTACTTTCGGTTGCTCGCCCTCTGCCGTTCGGCGGCGCTGCTGCCTCTCATTCTCGGACTTCGCCACCACCTCTGGGCCAAGCATGAGAAACATCGCGGGCGACCCCCGCCGCTGCTGTACGTGCTGCGGCCGTCAGGCGAACTCTCGGAGCTCTGGGCAAAATGGCGACGGGCGAAGAAGGTAAGTGTTGCGCGACTGCATGGTCCAACGAAATCATCCAGCGGCTAATGCCCTTCTCCGCACATAGGACATGTACAGGACTTAGGGGTCACTGGGGTTCATGCGAACGCCGTCCTATAAAGACGACATCGGTTATTTAGCCAGGCCATACGCACGTGTTGTCTAGCACTATCTGGAGGGAGGAGGAGGGAGGAGGGAGGAGGAGAAGGAGGAGGAGGAGGAGGAGGAGGACGAGGAGGAGGAGGATAAGGAGCTGAGACGACGGACCCCCTCGCGTTGTGAAAAAATCGCGACGGGCGATGCTTGCCGATTTTCGGCCTTTGGCTACCTTCGCCGGGCCCTGCGGGACCCGTCAGCAAGACGGCTCGGGAGGAAAAACTTGCCCCGAGGAACGGGTCGAGACGTCTCTGGGTCGACGCCGTATCAAAATCGTGCCGTCTGGTCGGGCGGCCGCAGGTAGCGTCTCGACATTGGGCGGAAGGGGGGGGAGGGGGGGGGTATGGCTCCAGACATCTGCTTCACGCGACTGTTTGCAGCAGTGCGTCCTGTGGGGGAGACCCCATCTGCTCGAATCCGGCGCCAAAATCAACCGCAAAATCTACGCCATGGGGGAGGGCCCGCGCCGATCGGCAAAACATTAAATAAGAGCACGATCGCGATGCTGTTTGTTTTGTCGGCTGCCGTCCTTTCCTCCATGCGGGCCCTCGATGTCGTCGATTGCCCCCCCAAAAAAGCGGCTCTACCGACTGCCTTGTTCATTGGCTTTGGCCCTCGGGGCGGGCCAGTTATATCAGGCTCTGGTGGCCCTGGGGAGCCGCGGATGGAACAAAAAGTGATCTCGGAGCATCTCTGGGACCACCTCACCGATCCTTGCCCAGCCCGTCGTGGGCCCAGGAGCGGCGTCTGCAGTAGGAGCCCGACCACAAGAAACCTTCCACAAGAAACCCAACCCTGACCCTGGGGACGCCCGTGGGTTTTTGGCGTGGGAACGACGCGCTATCCATCGCAAAACCATGGGAGCCCAAGAAACCCAGGGCATCCTGGAGGCCGGCAGGGTGCTTTTTTGGGCATGGGACTCCACTGTGTAGCCTCCCGGATGGGGCCCGATCAGCAGGGATCGGAGGAGCGCGCCGCATCGGCGACGCGTCGGCGACGCGGCGCGATGTGGCGCCCGATGCTCTCCATCCCGACGCGCGTGGGTTCCCGCTGCATCTCTGGGACCACCTCGCCGATCCTGGCCGGGCCCCTCGTGGGCCCGGGATCGGCGTCGAGGCGGCGCGGCTTGATGTGGCGCCCGGTGCTCTCCGTCCCGACGTGTGAAAAGGGGCCCAGGGACACAGAAAGCACACACATCCCAGGGCTCTCCATATTTTCCTATCGTTTTGTGGGTGTTCGTCTTCACCCCCCCACTTCCCATAGTTTTTAATCTTTTCCTGGGGGTCGACGATGAATTGCGTCTGCGTGTTTTTTCCCCCCTCGTGGGCCCCGGATCGGCGTCTGGAGGCGGCCTGGGCCTGGCCAGGGGAGGCGTGGGCACGCCGGCACGGCCCCCCCAAAATGGCACGAGCAGGCAGCACATGTCTCAAGGAGCCCAGGGACACACAGATGAATACACACAAATCCTAGGACTCCCCCATATTTTCCCATGGTTTTCTCGGTTTTCGTCTTCCCCCCCACACTTCCCCCACCGCCAAAAAACAGCCAAGTTCTACTCCATGGGGGGGGGGAAGAGACCGCGCCGATCGGCAAAACAATGAATAAGAAAACGATCCCCTGCACGCCCGCGGCGCTTCCGCTGTTCCCCTCCCGCTGGCCGCGGGGTGGGGCCCACGGCCGCCGGGCCCGCCATGGGCGGCCGAGCGGGCGTGCTATGGAGCCGCGCCGCTCGGCTGCGGACGGCGCCGCGGGGGGGTCGGGCGCGGAGCGCGCGGCCTGGCGTCGTCCAGAGAGACATCGTGCTCGGCGTGTTTTTTCGTCCTCGGCCTGGGCCTGCAGGAGAGGAGGAGGAGGAGGAGGAGGAGGAGGAGGAGGAGGAGGAGGAGGAGGAGGAGGAGGAGGAGGAGACGGAGGAAGGAGGAGGAGGCGGAGGAGGAGGAGGAGGAGGAGGAGCCCGAGGCCACGCGGGAGACACCCTGCGAGAGCGGCGGTCGGGAGAGGGGTGCGGGGGGCAGTGGGCAGAGGGTCAAAGAGCGGGCAGCATTTGGCGCGCCAGCGAGGCCTGATGCCCACATGGGGCATCGAGGATCGACCCGAGGACGGGGGGGGAGAGGAGCGAGAGGGGGGAAGCCAGACGATGACGATGACGATGCGACGATGACGATGACGATGCGACGATGACGATGACGACCGTCGGGGGGGAGGAGAACGGTGCGAGGGGGGAAGATACGGATAGAGGTAGGTAGGTGCGCATCTGCCACATGTCCACCAATACCTCCCCGCTGCGTGCATCAACGTATACACATGTATATATATATATGTATATAGATATATGCGTATATGAATAGATGCATACATATATGCACACATGCCTAGATATAGACATGTTACATTAT